ATTGACAATAAAAAAATTACATTTATCTATGTGACATTATGAATATTAATGATTTAAGAAATGTATTTCAGAAGGTAAAGTATATTTTATCGGCGTATAACTGATATTATGTTTGTTGATAGTATATGTGATTTAAACTAAAATATTCATTGCAGTATACTTTCATAGTGTTATACACTTTGCTGCATTAAAAGCAGTTAGTGAATCATGTCAGAAACCACTTGAGTACTATAAGATTAACGTCAGTGGAACAATAAATTTATTAGAAGTTAGCGAGAGAACAATGTAAAACATTTTATTATTCAAGCAGTGCTACAGTTTTATGGTGTACCTCAGCAACTTCCTTTAATGGAAGATATGAAAACTGGTAATTGCACGAATCCTTATGGGCAGACAAAGTTATGGTAGAAGAAATATTAAAGGATTTGTGTATATCAGATAAGGTATATATGTATTTTACAAAGTATATATATTACAACAATATATATATTACAATGTATATATATATATATAACAACGTATACATATACGTATAAAAGTATGTATATTACAACCGAATAATATGTATAATCTATTTAAATAGAAAGTATTATTTACAGGAATTTTCTGTTATATCTCTGAGATATTTTAATCCTTTGGTGCACATCCTTCAGGTCAAATTGGAGAAGATCCTAATGGTGTACCAAATAATTTAATGCCTTATATTGCACAAGTCTCTGTTTGGAAAAGGGATACATTATTTGTTTATGGTAATGACTATGATACACCTGATGGCACAGGTAAAAATTCCATATATTTCTGTTTGCGGAAAAATTTAATTAAAAATAAATCTTAATATATGTACAGAGTTTTGAAAGTCTGGAAACGGTCAATATCTTATACCATTTTAGACAAAACTGTTTAAAAAATTGTAGGGTTTAAAATATGTAACAGATCTTATCATTTTAACCTTGAATAGTGTTGCCAAGATTAGGATAATCCATCTCGAATTTTTTAATAATTCTAACTACTATATTTTTTATATATAAATCGATTCTTTACAATGTTCTGTACAAAAAATTATAAGAATATGATGATAAAAAAATGACTAATGTACGAGATTTTTGTACTTTAATTTCACATAATCTTTCATAAATAAAATATTTTAACAAATATTTATTTTCTGATGATCTTATCTCAATACTTTTATACTCAAAATAATGAGGGAAATTAAGTGGTGTAAAGAAAACAACTGTTTTTAAGAACTGCTAGTTATAAATTACATACTAAGAGGATATATATATATATATATATATATATAGAAGAAAGAAATATACTTAAAAAAAAGACAAGTTTAAAGACATTTATAAATTTTTTTTTCTAATTATGTTGGCAGGTATGCGTGACTATATTCATATTATGGACTTAGCAGTAGGACATGTGAAAGCCATAATTTATCAAAAACTCATAATCTGAGAGGATTTAAGGCGATAAATCTTGGCACTGGAAAAGGCTATTCTGTGCTTGAAGTTATACATGCATTTGAGAAAGCATCTGGAAAAAAAATCTCATACAAAATAGTTGAACGTAGACCAGGTGACATGCTGTTAGTTATGCGGATGCTAGTATCGCTAACAAAGAACTGGATTGGATTGCTACAAAAATATGATGACATGTGTAAGACATAAATTAGTATAATAAAATTAATAGCAGTCATAACAGTTATGTGGAACCGTTTTGTTTATTTGCAATTTCATGAAATATATCTCATTATAATGTTCTAAATTAAAAGTATATTGATTTTTTTTTCAGGTTTAGATACCATGGAAATGGCAACAAAATAATCCAAATGGATATAAACATTAAGAAACAGGATATATATTATATCTAAATAATCAATTCATCAACCTTATATATTTTGTCTTTCGTATATTGTCAGAAAGATCATGAAATCACGGTGGTGT